GTCGCGCATTTCGAAGCCTTCGGGACGCAATGTGGGGCTTATCGTTCACCCTTTGCCAAGTTACAACGAGACAGGGTATAACTGCGCGCTCTCACTCTGCTGGCGCCGCCTGGCCGTTGCCGGTTGGCTATACGAGCGCAGCGCACACATATTTCAGCATGACGCAGCGAAAAGCCTTATGCTACTTCGCAGTAAACGCGCACTTGGGCGATACGTAGTCACGTTCCGATTGGCCCGTGAGGGCCGTATAGCTTCCACCGGACTGGCATGTTACGCGATCACGGCCTCCTGGCCTACCCAGTATTTGTTGCTTCTGATACTAGGCTATTGGTGGCGCCCTCCTATGGTTCCCTTTTGTGACGTCATTACCTTGCGAACAACGAGTTCGATGACGTTAGTAATTAGCATGGTGAAATCACTGCGCTCTGAAATCAATACTGCGAACACCGCCAAGATTGAAGTTCTTCCATTACTCTTATTTCCGTCGATGATACATCGTTTGGTGACGTAATAGTCGGCGTTCAGCCAATCGTGAAAGGCCGATCACAGCGACGCTCTCAATCGCGCACGTCGCCAATAGCCTAGTATCTGAAGCAAGAAATACTGAGCTCACGTTTGAACAATGTGGCCGCCACTTCTAGGCATACCCAATGTTTCTTGCTTCAGTCGCTAGATAGCGCCAAAATAAACACCATTGTGGATTTCCTATTAGCCTTTTGAGCGTTAGCGGCCCTATTCGTCTGCTTTTTTTTTTTTTTTTTTTTATGCGTTAGCATTAGTATCTACATGACAGGGAAAAGCTGACGGCGCCCGTCTGTGGACAGCACTTCAAAGGGAAGCGCGCCGCGTAGAGAGGAGGAGAGTATAATGAAGGACAACGGCGAGAAGGAGGTGACGTCACGGGGCGGAAGCCAATGAGCGCGCAGATACTTGGGCGAGTCTAAACTTGCAGGTGTGCGGAGCGCGTATGCCCTGGATTGTGCTACAAGCTGGAGTGTGGACCAAATGTTCCAAATAGGCGGTAATAGAAGACGGATTGTGAACGAAGGACACGGGATACACAACACACATTGTGTCGTTCAAAAAAGATCCACAATATACGCCACTAAAAACCCTTCCGAAAAAGAAAAAAAAAACAGGCGGAAAAAAAAAAGGTAAGAGCCATTGATGGATCTTTAGGGAATCCGTTAGCATGACCCTTTGGAAACGCCACACTCGTCCCCGTCTGGGAAACGCTAACACTGACCCCGTAATGAAGCCTAAAGGAAACAGCAAGAAGTAGAAAAAGCTAAAGAAAAAGTGAAAAGAGAAATCCAAAATAGAATTGTGAAGGGGACAGCGTCAGCGTTTCCCAATGGGGAACGTGCCCGGCGTTTCCCTAGGGTCATGAACGCACGTTCTAATCATCCACCAATGAATCTTCCTTTTAAACACCGTGTTTACTAAAGCAACATCGGCGTCTTTTTACGCCTTTTTTTTTTTTTTTTGCTACAAATTATTGACGTCGACGAGCTGACAACCCCGTCACTGGAGGACGGCACGTGTGCTTCGCGCGCCATCGCTTTTTGTTTTATTATTATTAATTTGTTTTTGTGCGTTATTTCGAGCCACTTCCTCGTGTGGGTGTACACGTGTTATGGGCTTTGATCAGTGCGCATCGGCACAGCAGTCGCAGCATCTATTTTTGTGGAGACTCGCTGTCGCCAAAACGCAGCTGCTACCCTTGCGCAAGGAAGGGTTCTGTCGGTTTGCCCAAACGCCGCGTGTTTAGTTGATCTTTGAACTTGAACAAAAGAAAACGCTTGTTTTGGAACATGCCGTCGTTTTCCTATACATAAACCTTTTATTTCATTTGAAATGGAGTGTCACATTCCTTCCAACCACCGCCGCATAAACCGTGAGTTAAAGCTGGAGCACATCTGTGGCAAGCAAATCGGTATTAGCGCAAAATCCGTAATATGCGAAAATCGTTTCATGCTGCTTTGGAGAAACGAGGGCATTTGTTGTAGATTGGTATAGACCTTTTCTGCAAGTGCGCCGCCATCTTGAATGGACGTCACTTCCAGTATGGGCGAAAACATTGTTTTGCCTTTGCCACGCCAATAGAAGGCATTTAGGATATAAGCGCAACCGTCACACTTTCTCGTTTTGCCTCCCCTTTATTTTTTTACTATTTGCAGGTTGACACGTTGGATTATTTTTTCGTCGCCCACACTGGATATGCCTATAGGTGGCTGGGGACGAGAGTACACAGAAAAGGCCTATAGATAGCAAATATTCTGGCGTTAAAATCATGTTTGGCTATTTACGTACGGTAGGTCTACCCACATCAGGTTCGTTTTTGAAGGGAAAAATAAAGTAGAATCATTGTTTCATGTCACAAATTTTGTCCGATAGTAATGCGGCTATAGGCACGTTTGTTCCTGGCTCTAAAATCAATCAAACTTGTGAAAAGCTTCAAATCAGCTTTGGAATCATCGTGCGAGAACCCGAAACTAGGCAATAAAGAACGAACAAAAAAAAAACTTCGGTTGTTTTCTTCTGCAAAAAAATATTGTGTCCAGTCACAGGACTACGTGACGTGATGCATCATGGTTCTCTATGTACAACAAACACGGTTGCACTGAGGTTTAAGCAAAATAATTTTGTCAGAGGTCACTAAAACAAGCTGGAAGTCGTTGTTTTCTTCACTTTTTTTTTTTTTTTTTTGTCTCTTTACTATTTATGACTCATTCTACTTAGAGCCTAAATCATCGCTGCTTTTAGTGGACAAACTAAAAAACAGCAAAAGAAAACATTTCCGTTTAGGTTTGAATTGTCCGTTCGTCCAGTCCCGCGGCGCAAGGAGCCCCCCGAGCTCCCTCTCGCAGACGGCGTCGGCCGGACCGGCGACGTCCGGGGAAAGGCAGTTTTCCTCGCGGACGGCTTCGGACATCGAGAGCCCCGGGGGCCTCTCGATTAGGCCGACGACCCCCGCCGACTGTCCCGCCGGTTGCCCGCTCCTGTGCGCATGCTAATGAAGCCGGGAGGCTCGGCAGAACTGAACCTCGCCTGCTCGGACCAGAACAAAGAACGCGCTTCTTCGAGGAGTTAGTTGGATCCAGCGTTCGAGGAGACCGGACTTTTCCGCGTTCGTCGACGGGAAAAGAAAGAAAACATCGAACAACGTAGGAAAGGTCAAACATTGTGACAAGAAGAATTCGAGGCGTCTGTGTGTTAGCGTTGTTCCTTGAAAAGGCGCCTTCGCGCTCAACTCGTATACCCCGTACAAAAGACACTGTGTTCGCTACATACGTGATTACAGAATTGTCTACGGGTACACCTGAAGCATTTTTCGAAGCATGTTTACTTCACACACGTGTGTACGCTTCGAACATGACTCCATAGCGTGTTTTTGTGCGACCAATGTGGATGAAAGGTCATGCAAGAGAGGAACATGCTTCAGGCAATGTCTGCGCTGTGCCCTTCGTATAACGTATTAACAGCGGCTTATGTAATTCCGGGCTCGGGTACGACGACACGGGAGGATGGGCTACAATTATTTATTTATTTTTCTTGATCGAGCAAACGTTTTATTTATAAAATTTTATGAATAAATAATAAATATTTATAAAAGTTTGCTGCTTTTGCAGGGGCTGTGATGACATCAGAGTGACGTCAAACTTTGATTGGCTCTGATTGGAGGATAGTGGGTAGACCTCGAGGCAGCTTGCTTTGAGGTCCACTTACTATCCTCCAATCAGAGCCAATCAGAGGTCGGCGTCGTTCTGACGTCATATCTACCGATAAAGGTTGCGAATGTCGCAATCGAAATAGCCGTCATTTCGGATGGTCGTTGTAGAACAGCCGCGCGAGGATGGGGTGTGTGACACGTGAGTAATTCTAATGTTGTGAAATACGAGGGATATATATATATATATATATATATATATATATATATATATATATATATATATATATCATTTCTCATTTCATTTCTCTCATTTCAGCAATTAGGGAACATTCCGGGGTCAACGCCTTGAAATATAATTATACTGGAAATCATGTTTAGCTAGAAAAGAAAAACCACGTGACGCAAATATCGAGGTGTTTTTTTGTTTTTTTTTATTATTATTATTTCTGTGTTTTTCGAGGTTTGCATGTGTACAGGTTGTATTATTCAGGTGTCGAAACTAGAGTTTTTTAGATGTGGAAATTGATATAACTTTGGGGAAACGCTTTGTTCCGGTGCTTGTGCAATACTTACGTGCTTTTTAACAACAACCGTACGCGCATTCCAGTGGGGGGATTCTCTTCGCGATCTGTGAGTTGAGAATCCTCGTACATTTTGATTTTAGAAAATTACAAGGTTTTCAATCACAAAGCTGCGGCGTTTTTCTCCTTTCAAGAGAGATTAAATAACTAAAGGCGCTTTTATAAATACTTAATCGATGAAGATCTGTTATGATTAAGTAATGTTTGGTGCAAGTTACTTGAGCGTTCTTTTTTTTTTAACTATGAAAATACTTTAAAATTAGTTGGTCTAGCACGTGTAAAAGACGCCTTGAGAGTTTTCTGAGCTCCAGAGGTCATATTCTGATCACCCTTGAAATATAAGCTCGTCCAACCTTGAAACGGCGTTATTGCAGGATTCTTGTAATCTCCCTACATTACCAGGTGATGCTTCTGCGACCCTTTCTGAAGAACCTCTTTCAGTTCGATATTGTTCGCACATTTCGTCAACAACAAGGGAAACAATTCTGCTCGAAGGCCCGAAACCAATTGTCCGTTCTTTGCTGTTTTGAGGGTAGCCTCAGTAAAATGAATACCATTGTGGTTGTTTATACGTCACTTACTTTTGGATCCCATCACGAAGAAAAGAACTAGTAACGTGCTAGACTCTTTAAGCCGAAACACGCGCAAGAAAATCACAAGTGACGATTAATATAATTGACACTGGAGAGGCACCGCTACTAAAGAAGCAAGTGACCCCTCCGCCAAGCACGACTCAGATGCATGAATGTTCGTGAACAATTGTTTATTTGAACTGAAGCGACATAACCCACCACTGTCCGAAACAATGCAACGCGAATGATGAACCTCGGAACACAGCAGTGCGAAAACTCGGGAGGCGCGAGAGCAAAACAACCAAGATGAAGAAACGAAAATTGCGAGGGACGCCATGACACGCGTCGTATATCGAAATACGAGCGGCAGGTACTTGTCTGGACATGCGCGAGATGCCTCACGTTGCCGAATAAGAACGCGGGCAATCGTTGCATAACACACTGGTAAGGTAAGGCACAGCGTGTGTGTGTGTACATTGTTTATAGTCATATAAGGCAGCGGCGCTGACAAAAGGCACGAAATGACGCAGAAACGCACATTATGTACAACATGATTGGGTTCCTTAAATAAAGCGATACAATAATGAATGCAGGAGTGCCGTTGACGTGAACACAAGACAAAAGATCACAATGACGCCACCATAAAAAAAAAAAAAGATGAAAATAATACCGAGCGAATGAGAAACGATCAACGGCGCGATCCTCCCAGAGACGACAAACGCGCACTACTTCTTGCCTCGGTTACAACACAATCATCTACAAGCGATACATGGTATAAAAAAAAAAAAAAAGGAAGATTGTTCTCAGAACATACTGCCCAATATATCACGGATATATGTGGGATTCCCCTCCGCCTCTGCGCCGGGGGAAGTTCTAGGACCCAAGGGTTCGAGTCCCACGTAGGACCGCTCATGGTGCCCATAAAAACCTGCTCCACCACTCGGAGCACCGTCGACGGTAAGTAGGAGGCCTTCGCGTGCGAGTTACTCTCGCAGCCAAGCGCCACGACGTCTACGGCCCACCGTCACATCGGCAAAAGTCTGGACAATGAGAGAGAGGGACTGCGAAAAGAGGGATAAAACATGAGTGTAACTGCGTACATGACGAGGTCTGCTTGCGTCGGAAAAGGGAGCGATTAAGAGACAGACTATACTCCGGTGAAATTTTCGTTCAATCAATCAATCAAGGCCGACGCTAAGATTCCATGGAGCTTATCAATCGGCGCAAAAAGGGCATCGTCACGGGGATGGTCGCCTCTGGGCAAAGGGTTGACGGACTAAACCCATCACGCAATGGTTTTATTTTCTCGGCCAGGTGGCGCAAGGTACCGCCCGTTACAAAAGGGCGCAGCCGTTAACTAGCATCCATCCATTCAGGGCTTTATTCCGCGTGCGATTGGTTTAGCCGGCGATAGCAAGCCCACGAAGACGACTGCCATGAAGATGCACCTTTGGCGCCCTTTGATCGAGCTCCATCGGTTCGAGTGAAGCGGTCGGGCTAACAGTGACACGGAGTATAGATGAAAGTGTTTCCTCTCCGCGCGCGTAGCAAGTAGGCGTCAGCCCCGCCGGTCGGAGAACCGGGCAACAATGATCGCACGTGTGACATGTGCGAGTGTCGTAATGAAAATAAATAAAGCTGAAATAAAAGAACAACAAAAAAAAAAATTCAAATCTAAAAACTCTCAGAACCGTTTTCTAGGGTTCAGCGCATTGACCTTTCATTTTGCAAAAAAAAAAAAATAATAATAATAATAATAAACATGCCGGCAAAAGGAGACCTCATAGCACGTACAAAGAACGAACGACACTGCGGAACCAGCCGCAGTGCCACGAGCGGGAAAAAAAATAAAATAAAAAAGGAATCGGTCGTCATATATGTACAGGAGAGTCACGCCACTGGCGTTACGCTGAGGAACGAAAAAGCGAACATTTTTCCACGCGTTTTGGGGGAACCCAGGCGGCCCGCAACAGCCCAGCCCCGCGGCCCAGAACCAGCTGAAAGCCAGGGTGGGGCCGAGCGCGAGCCGCCCTTACAGGGAACCGGGATCAACAGCTGTAGGGCGCGCAGAACTGGTACACGAGCCTCTGCGAGCGCTCCGTCTTCTTCATGATGCCCTTCTTGTAGTACTGGCGGATGGAGCGGCTCAGCTTGTCGTAGTTCATGGCCGGACGGTTCTTGCGCTTGCCCCAGAGGCGGGCCACGCGCACGGAGTCCTCGATCTTGAAGACGCCGCGGGTGCGGTCCAGCCAGCGGATGCAGCTGCCGTACAGCTGAGGCTGGGAGAGCAGCTCTTTGAGGAACTGCCACAGGTGGATGTGCGACGACGACGGAGTTCGAGGCCCGCCGCCGTTCCCGGCCACGAGACCGTGGACGCAGCGGTCGGCCAGGTCGCTGCTGGCGTCGCTCGCCTCGTCTGCGGGGAAAAGAGAGCCGGAAATGAGCGATGCATCGGTATGAGCGAATGCTGACGCGCGCTGCGCCAGTCAAGGCGAAATCGCGCTTTCATATATCGTAGAAAAGAAACGCTGGCGGGACCGTCGTTTGTATGATGTATGGGCATTGTGACCGCGGTTTTGTAGCACTCTTAAGATACGAAAACCCTAAGGAGTAACTCTCAGGTGTTTGTGACGCGGCCTAGAGTGAGCTAGGAGCAGTGGCATTCAACTAGGATACGTTCGCGCGATAATCGTGTCGAAGAAGAGAAGGAAATCGAGTCATGGACGAGCGGAACCGTCGCGAAGATGGGTACGCTCATTTTTCCCTCTTCTACTCCCCGATCCCCGTAAAGTGTTTTTGAGAGCTCAGTGCATAGAAGATGAGCTCGGGGCTGGTGAATGTAAATGAAAGCCTACGCGGCGCCAACGTACCAACGCGGAATACGTAATATCCAGACTGTCATATTGGAGGCAAGCCACGGAAGGGGCATAAGAAAATATGGCAAGAAGTTTTGCTTTGACCGCTTCGAAAATATATAACCGAGTGTCGATTCGCTACGCGTCTTGAGAGGACCCGCCACGGAATCATGCATGGTGAAGAAAACAAAACTTATATTCGACCAGCTCGAGGCCCTGTCGATTCCGAGCAGGCAGTTTCACGAGAGCGGTCATCTCAACGAGTTGCAGTCCCCTCTCCCGTTGAAACGCGGGAGATAATGAAAGTCCTGCACTTTTTTCTGCTTTCTTTCGTTCCGAACCGGCCTCGAAACCGGCAGGTGCGCCCGGACTGGAAGCCCAACGACGACGATCAATTCAGCTCAACCGGCCTCCCTCCTCCCAAGAACGAGTCGAACCAAACAAGAAACACGGGGTAGAACAAAAAACGCAACAACGACGAGAAAAAAAAAGCGTCAGACCGTTGCCCTTACGAGGCGAAGGAGAACCAGCAGGTGAGTGAGAGAGAAGAACGCCTGGGCGAAGTCTGCTCTCGCAAAAAACCGAAAGGCGAGGAGTAGTCAACCGGCAAAGGCAGGGAGGGGGGGACCCTCCGAAGTAGTCCCCCACCACGCCCTAGCTCCGGAGGAGGGAACGGCTTGGAGCAGCGGAGGGAGCGCCGACGCCCAAGAGAAGAGGCAGGCTATAAAGATTCCAGGCCCATCGGACAAGGGAGAGGAACCGGCCGCATTCCAGCGCTGGTCTCTCCTCGTCCGGCGAACTCGGTTGTGCGCGAGGGGCGGGAAGTGGATGAGCAGGTTGCCGCTTTGGGAAGCGCTGCTGCTGCTGCTGACCCCTCGTCGCGGCTGCTTCTGGAGAAGCTTGCATCTCCGGCGGGGGGGAACAGAGCGAGCCGCCTCGGGGGGCCCCGGAGAAAAGAAGCGGCCAAGCCGCTTTCAAATTGGCGAAAATTTCGTGCAGCGCCTCTTTTTTTTTTTCTCTCCTCCGATTTTTTTTATTATTTCCCGACGAGCGAGCCGTTTCGACGAGCCTGCCGACTGGACGATTGCTTCTGGGTGTTTGGGGGAGTGCAGGCAGGTTACAGAAGCTCCCCCCCCCCCCCCCCTATTTTCATCTTTGGGATGTTCCGCCGGCTCCGATCGGGGGTCTTTGTTGCGCGCGGAAAGATACACAAAAGGGAAAACTGGCGTGACTGGTAGCCGCTGCTGCTGCCCGGGGTGTTGAATGTGTAATTTGGGAAAAGGTTTTCGCCGAGATAGCGAAACGACTCGGAAACGTTGCGCGTCAGGAATTGCGTAGAAGGGGGGGAAGGAAGAAAGGCGCGCGCGGATTGCCAGCCGCCGGACGCGGCTCCCTCCTATCTCGCTCGTATCGACGACGACGCGTTCCTTTCTTTACGACTTCTTTGTCGCCACGAGTTGCGCAAGCTCGCCGAGTACGTTGCAAGTCTGACGTGTCGCCGAACCCCGGTTGAAGTAAACAGCGGTACGACATCCGAACAGCCCACAAAACCGAATGCATTTCAACGCCTGTAAAGCTTACAGGATTCCTTACGGAAACAAGAAACGGTGTCAACTTCAGTTACCGAAGACAAAAGCACGACGGAAGGCAAGGGCGCGGAATAGAGGCGGTGCCTCCGAAAGGGACGCCCTACGCTTGCTGTCGCGCCAGTAACTATGCTGGAAAACTGCATATCACACACTGCCGGGTACCCCAGAGTCTTTCTTTCCGTGATAATTTATAACCGGTCAGGTTTACTGGAGAACTAGAAATTCGGCAAGTGTGAGCAAGGAAACAAAAAAAAAAAAAAAGGATCCGGGAAGTTGTTGAAAAAGAACTCGCGGTACCCATAAAACCTCCGATATCCCTTTATATCAATATGGCGCGAGACCATGCCGCACAACGACGCGCCCTGTTGCGTGCAACAGCGTGAGGACAGGAGGGGTGTCAGAGCTGGTGCATGACATTTGTGCGAACCAGCCGGGTGGCTAGATGGCGCAAGCTACCACCCGTCAAGAAGGATACAGCCATTAGCATCCATCCATCTTGGCGTTTCAGTGTGACCGACTGTGATGCAACCTCTTCTCACTGCTGAAAAGAGTACTGGTACCATGCCATCTACTAAGTGGCGCGAGCTACCGCCCGATATAAAGGGTAGTCGTTAGCACCCATATATCCAACCAGGTACCCCCGGCCGCCCTCCGTTGTGCTTATATTTCTAAGTTTTTAGGAATCGTTCTGTGATTGTAGGGTTTTAATCATTCTGTCAGTACCACCACTTCTAATACATGATGCGAATCATTGACCTCCGAAACACTGATCTGAAGAACGCTGAAACAAGAAGTTTTAAAAGAAGTAGAGCGCAGTAAAATAAGGTTAGAGGAATGGTGGTTAAACTCAAGGGACGTCTAGAGGTTTAATCTGAATAAGTAAGCTTAAACACCATTTCTTCTGGTGCTAAAAATGCTATTTGGCTAGGTGGTGCGAGTCACCACCCGATTTAAAGGGACACCGCCACGCATCCATCCATACTAAGTAGCCACAAGCGGCTACGACGCAGTAGTTTGCATGTAAACCGGCGGACGAGTTTCAGCGTGCCTCGACGTACGACTAAGCAGACGGCCGAAATCTGAACCTCACCATCACTGTGAAGTCCGTCGCTGTGGTTGTCGCTCAGGTTGAGCGGGACCGAGTGCTGCACGGCGGACGACGGGTCCGCGCCACTGCCAGATATCGTCTGGCCCAGGAGCCCCGCCAGGTCCAGGACGCTGTCTTCTGGGCAGAATTGCTGCGGTGAGCGCTGGCCGTGCTCGGGGGGGCGCAGGTGGGCAGCTGAACGCAAGAGGAGCCACTCGGGTCACCAAATTGCGCCACCGAAGCCAAAAGGCGGCGGGAAGAACGGAATATTTGTTCGTTCAAACAATTCGGTGCACAAATCAGTGCTAAGTTCATAGCGTGGTTAGGTAACGAAATAAATAAAACATCCGTTCCTATTTCTTGCTTACACCAATCGCTCTTTTTTTCTTTTAGATGGTTGTTTTTTTATGCGTTGTGGGCATTATGCTTTATCTCCTAAAAACAAAGTGATAGTTGGTATGCAAATATCAAAATAAAATATTCTGTGCTCAAAACAAACCCAATAAGAGTCACTATAGTCAGTGACAGATCAAGAACAAAGTGGAAGCTCCTCCCAGCTCTTTCCACTTTAGCAGAGTAATCACCGAAGAGGAGATGACCTCTCCAGCGTTCGCTCTGCTAATGTGGAAAGAGGTGGGAGGAGCTTCCACTTCGTTCTTGACCTGTCACCGACTACAGTTACCAACTAAGCGCCGCAAATGGTCTTATATGGGTGTCAATGAATACTCCAATTTTTGCTGGCAATTGCGATAAAATCTAATCACTTTAAATAAAGCACTATACCGGTGCTATAGTCGGGGACAGGGTAGTTCAATAGAAGCTTCTCCCATTTCTTTCCACTTTAGTACAGCGAACGCTGGAGAGAAGGTCAACACTTGTCCAGCGTTCGCTTTGCTAATCTGGAAAGAGTTGGAAGAAGCTTCCACTTCATGTAGGACTACAGGAAGATTTCTATTTCAGTGTGTTACACCACAACTTTAGCCAACGTTTAGCTTTGATACTTCCACCTTGAGACATTTGATTACGCTAACCAGAAATCGAGAACGCAAACCTGGTGAAATCAAATGGTTATTGAGAACTTCGCCAGCGACCATTCAAAGCACGTAAGTGAATCTAAACAGACAACTTTTGTAACATTCAAGTGAAGCTTCCTCCTCAGGACAATTCAGCAAAGCTGAGGACGCACTACACTCTCCTCTTACACGTATTGTGCAATATGACAAAAGGCGCCGGTTTGTGCTGGGGCAATTTGAAAATGGCCTTGCTAGACTAAACCAAGTATTTCCCACAGCCACCATCTACAGCCCGTGCCTTCTTACTCGTGAGATGCCGTAACGTAAGCTCGACTCGGGGAACTGGTGTCTGGAAACACTCACCAGATTTCCAGATCTCCAGCTGGGCGCTTAGGATGTCTCCGGATCCTGGGGCCCTCATGCGAAAATCATCCTCACTGAGAGTGCACAGTGCGGAGCCATCCATGTTGAAGTATTCGGGCTTGATGGCAGGACAGCCGTACTGCTGTTGCGTCCACACGAGCCAGGAATGGACGTTGTTCACGCTCCAATGATAGGGATCTGTGAAGCCATAAAGACTCGCCTTTAGAAAAAGTCCCGCGTTCACAGCCTTCGTTCAAAGTTGCCCCGAGGTGCCTCGTGTAAACACTATTAGCAAACAAAACCCCAATTCATTAGTAACTATGCAAAGCGTAAGCTCGCCTGCTTCTGTTGCAGAGATTGTGGTGCCGTCAGAACGCCGAGCTCTGATTGAAGGATAGCGGGTAGGGCATCAAAGCAAGCGGTCTTGAGGACTATCCACTATCCTTCAATCAGAGCCAATCAAAGCAAGACGTTCTGACGTCACCAGATCCCCTGCAAAAGAAGCAGACGAACTTGAGCTCCGCATAGCTTAAATACTATCCAAAAATCGCTGAAAATAGCCCATAGCCCCGACTAGAATAGAACACAGTGCGTCTCTTTTGACTGGCCTGGACCTAGCACGCGCAAGTCGACTTCCACCGTGCCTCAGATGCGCGTGCACGCTCGAGGCTGACGGGACCTCAAAAGTGATGTCGAAGGTAGAGGTGGGAAAACCGTCAGTGATTATAGTCTAAGTTTCAAGACAACAAGAAAGGCGGCCAGCAAGGCCTGCAGGACAGCCATATGTTGAAACCTGTTCGCCGACTATGTAAACTTTGTATTCCAATCTTACTTCTTAACGTCGTGGTTGAGCCGCCGCCATGTCCCTAAAACTGATGCCATAGTTAGAAATAGACGGCAGTGCGCATCTTCGGTTTTGTACTATTCACTTGGTATTGCAATGACGGAACGTTCCAAACCACGAAAATGTAAAAGTAAGTGCAGTATTTTCTTTTCTTTTTATTGCAGCGTCTGACGGTGAAAACCATGCAGTGAAAGGACAAGGACAACCCGAGAATCGGAAGTCGAACATGCATAATAGCACCAGACTGGAAGGATATCTAAAAGACAACTAACTATGGGCCATTGAAATTGCCTATGAATTCCCGTAATATTGTCTACCGGTGTCAATCTACATCTTGCGAAGTACATAAATGAAGTGCTACTACGGAGCGGCCTTGGGTAAATTACGCGCTCAGATACCGTAAAGACTTAAGCCGAACTTACAAATCTCCCTGGCAGAGAGGAACGTGGCCATAAGTTGCGTCCTCGAATTCAATAATAAAGCAACATCAAAGCTCTGGTAGGACAAGCATTGGCTTTCATTGATAATAAACTCAAAGCAGAGGGGGATAAAAATAGCAACGAGGATTTAAATGTAAAGCCGATGGACTTCAAGGCATGAACTTTCATACTTATGATTTCAAGGTACATCTGGGAGGAGCTCGTAATGAGAGACTGACAGCGTGAGCAAGGACATCGGTTCATGGTCAGAAGCTTCATCCACTCGTCGTAATCTTGCTACGGGACCAGGTCCAACTTGCGAACTCTGACGCAAGAGAAAGATTGTGCCGAAGAGGCGAAGCCCAAAAAATTATAAAAAAAAAAAAAGTCTTACAAAAACGCTTATAAAAAAAAATCAGAAAAAAAAGCGAACCTTAAGGATGACTGACAGCCACTCCCGCTAAGCAGCTTTGCGCCTGAATAGTTTTGGCAGATGGTCCCCAAGAAAGCTTCCCTGTATACGAGGTTTCTTAACAAAAGCTGCAATGGCAAAGGCTGACCCAAATTGTGTGTACTATCTGTAACCACAAACCCAAAATCCCGTTTTTTTTTTGTTTTTTTTTTTGGGGGGGGGGGGAGGCAGATTAGGATAACACCTGCTGCGGAGTTGCACACAAAATGTAATCCTACATTGAGCTATGATGACCTCATACACGGACAAAGCTGACCACAGAAGCAAGGGGCAAGGAGGCCACAGAAGCCCTCAGGGGCTTATCTCTGCTGAAACCGGATGCAAAAGTAAGTGGAAGATGAAACCCACCCGATCGAACAAAAAGATGGGATCTTCAGCACTTAGTCCAAGGGCAAGGTCCAACAATAGACGCAATTGTTTCGCTAGATACAAAAAAAGACTCCCGAAAAACTTGCCCGGAGAGCTCGCAAAATTAATTTTTCGGATGGACAACATACTGCTACAGAAATGCATCGGGTGTTGAAAAAGATTCGGCTGCCAACGCGAATTTGATAACGTACTCGAGTTTTGTACGGAAATGCCCAAGACATCCCCCACTAATACCGACTTCTCGGAACCTCAATGTGCACTACTGAAAGCACTGTAGACCCTCCCCACAAACAGCGTTACGTGCAGTGGCACGTGTATTCACAGCGTAGACGCGAAAGAAAGACACCCGCATCAAGTCTGTACACAGAGCAATCATGGTGGCTCCTGCGGTCACTAAAGAGAATCGAGACAACCTCCAACACTTCAAAATGTTAACACTGGCTGATATGTGCCATCAACGTCCCTAGTTCATGGGTGCGGAGTGAGGGTAGGTCCGCGGTCTATCGTCATGAATGGAGCCCACAATTTACTGAATAAGAAATATATTCACTCACCGGGCGAAATGTTGAGGATCTGGCAGGCGACGTCGATGTCCTTCGTCGCCTGCTGCACGGCGAGCACACGGAGCTGATCCAGCTTGTCGGCCGACAGCGAGCCACAACAGTAACTCTGCGAACAGTCCTCGGTCTTGACCGTCACTCGCTGCGGATACGACGGAGGCGGCGGGCGACACTTGTCCACTAGCACCGGACTGTTCTTGGACACCACGTAACGCACTGAACCCGAGCACGGCTCGTCGTACATGCTGGGGCTCGACGGTTGACCCACGGGCGCCCTCTGCGCCGGCAGACCGCAGTTCTTGGTCACGTTCACGAGTTCCTCGAGGACGGCGGGGTAGTCGAGCATCCCGCCGCCGCCCATCATGCAGGACGACTGCGGCGACGAAGGCGCCGATTGGGGCTCCTGCTTGATCTTGGTATCCGAATCGTCGAACCAGACGCCCAACTCATTCATGCCCCACTGGTCGGCCATGGACACCGGGCTCGCCGCACCGCCAGAGTGGCTAGGGCTTGGCACCAACTGCTGACTCTGTAGAGGAGAGACGACAACAACACGGTCAAGGAAATGGCTTCAACCACAACTTATCGCTCAAGGGGTAGATGTTTCCATGGAAGCAGTGCACGAAGCAGTACACGAACCAACGGAATGCGAGAAACACCTCTAAATCCGCGAACACACCGCTGATACATCATACAAACGACACCCTGAGGCCTGTTTCTTCCTTGTATGGCGGTCTTGTTCCAGTGGTCACACCAAAACTGTCTACAGATATGTTCAACGCATGCAGATGCCTGGCGCTAACATCCTTCGAACAGGATTGAAGCGCGTGCGCAGATACTTCTATACAAAGCCGGTCGCGAGGTTGGCTTTGTTGGACACTTACGATGGTCAGACGATGCCCTCATCGTGCTTTTGAACTTCGGCCCCCCGACTCGGAGATTAGAAAAAAAAACGCGGAATGACGGCAGCTGCTCGACACCGAGAAGATAAGAAAGGCAGCTTAGGTGTTCGCTCTTAGGTAAGCCAAAACAGCAAGAAAAAAAAGCAATCAAAAGTTGTCCGGGATAATTATCGAGGGGGGGAGGGGGGGAAGTCTGAAGGCGCTCGGCCCTTCTTGAACGACCTGTTTGAGCGTCGTCCCGGCGTCCAGACGGACCGAGGCCTGCGTCTCGGAGAATGGGCGTGCGCCCGGGACGAATTCGCCATTAGGGGGAACGCTTGCCCTTCCCTGCAGGATTGGCGGCCACCGCGCGGAGGCTGCGAAGAGCTCCTCGCCCCGAAAAAAAACCGGTTGCTCGAGCCCCACGGTGTGATCGGCCGCACCAACCTGTCGCTGCTGCTGTGGCTGCTGCCGCCAACCTCAAGGAGGCGCCCGAACGCAGCCCCCAAAATAATTCATCGACTATTGTAAACACTGGCGACAACCCAAAACAAAAACAAAAGAACGTAACTTAGACGGCTTGTGTCTGCTTCTATGGTGACGGAAGGTAGACCCCCCTACAATGCCAGCTAAAAAAAAAATACTATCATTGAAAAAAAGAAAAGAATACGCGTGGAGAATCCTGATTTCTATAACAAAGCTAGGCATTGTTCCGCCACGAAACAAGTTTCTTTTTTCTTTCTTTTTTCTTGTCTTAGCACGGCGCGGGATCAATTATTGCGCGGCCAGTGCTGCTACCCCGATTCCATAAAATGACATCGTCATTTCGCAAAAGTAAATAATTATAGTGGTCGTTAACCCCCATTCGCAATTAAACTAATTGAATATTAACGCGGTATAACTAATCGGGCAAAAAAGAGCAATCAGCGAGTACTCACGGTGTCTACAGCAGGGTAGCGCGGGGGAACGGCGGACCTTAGCATAGCTCCCACCTCATGCACACATCACGCAACAGAGAACTGATGACGCCCAAGGGCCTGGCCGGCCGTTTTATAGGGGGCGGCGCGATCACGTGGCTCCGCTCGCTCCGTGACGTCACGCGTAACGACGGCGCCACCGGTTTGAGGGAGGAGGGAAGGGCGAGGAGGTGGCTCCCACCGTGGATAATAATATCCCTCGTGTATCGCTGCCGGCTCCACTGTGTAGACCGATCTCTTTCTGTCTCTGATGCGTGTCTCTCCTCTTGTTGTTTCCACTCAAATCACGCGCGCTTGAACAGGCTTTCGTTTCGAACCTTCGGCTTGCCATGTGAAGTCAATTTTCCCGCTATATTTCGAGGGGAAACGTGGCGTCATGTGACGTCACAGGCAGCTTCACGAAATCGGGAGCAACTAACCAAACAAAGTTTCGTGTTACGAGCAAATAAATCTTTTTCGCAAACTAGAAAAAATATTAAGCAGTTTCATTTTCTATTATGGCAGGGTTTTCTCAATAAAAAGTTGTTAATTAAACAGCAGTAATTATTTCTTCCGCATCATTCCCAGTGATCGGAAGATTGATCAATCAATCTTTCACATTTAAAAATACATATAGTGATTAAGAAGCACTATTTTATAGCTACAGCGATTGATATCGAATTAATCTAGTTTAAATCAAATAAATTTAACTATATATATATACATACAGTACTCTCTTTTTTTTTTGTGCGTATACATCTGTGGGCGCTGCGTGTGTCCCTGATGCCAGATGAAGCCCTCTCCTCGCCCTGCTTGTAAGCGGTGCCACCAGATGACTCCTAGATATTCGGCTGATGGTAGCCTGTCGCGGGCCCGGTTTCTCATGCCTCTCTATGAGAGACGTGCTTGTAGGGACTCTGACACCCTCCACATTTTTTTTTTTATTATTATTTTTCGCCAGGCGATTTATTATTGTGTCAGAAGATTACCCAATCAATATTTTGATACAGCGCGTCACGTATATTTTTAATAAAGTCAATAAACGCAACAGCTCGAAACCGAAACGGGACTGGGGAGGAAGATGAAATATAGAGGAGGAGAGAGGTGGCGGAAGTCATGTGGCGGTGATACTTTTTGCTTCCCAAACAACGCATTTGCAGCCTTTTAGAAGCCACAAAAAAAAAAAAAAAAAGGGGTAGAGTATTTCTTTTCTATCGTTAATATTGTGTGTGTGCCTTCAATGACCTACGACTTTGATGTTATTGGGTGGGTGTCGTGTTGCAATTTTAGAAAACGGCCGGTAACCACGGAAAAGAGAGTGAGCGCGACTCAAACCGGCCATTTCTCGATCGGCGGCTTTCGGGCGGAAAGAGACCGATTTTCGAGCCGCCGATTCTGTTCTGGGTAGTAGGGCTCTCATATATCGGGTACAACTAAAAACCTCGGCGAGCATAAAGACCCCGTTAGTGTCCCTTTAAAGTCGCTTTGTGGGTGCGTCACGTCATGTAGAACTCGGCACTTGAGCTACGGGTGTTGCTTGGACACTGCTTCGTCATTGGCCCTAGCTTCGCGCTTCAACGGCGGCCTCTCGCACTCCTTCCTCCTCCTCCCCTGAAAAGGGCGGGTCCGGAAGCTAGTCTCCGTGGAAAGGAGAAGGGGTTTCCTCCTTTCTGGGTGGCAAGGAGGAAACCTCTTCTCCCACGGAAAATGGTTTTGTAGGTCGGCCTTTAAGCCAGCGTTCGTCAAGGTCGGAGCAGACGAAAGGACGAAAGGTATCATAAAAACGAGACGCTTTTTGTGTTTGTTTACATTTTCCTCAGTAGTAGCGTCTGGACGCCGAATACGTTGTCGGCTTCGATCGCGTCGCAGCGTTCGCCGGGGACCGTTCGGCTGGGCTAGGGGGCGCGCTGGAACGATACCAGTGGCGCCGCGCTGTGACGCAAATTCTCCCTAATGCGGTGTTCGTTCGCTTTCTGTCTGTCGAAAAACGGTGTTTATTTTTCCGGGAGGTGAACCCTCGCAAAGAAAGGTTGCCCTCGTGCCAAATCTCCGGGGTAGAGGAGATAATCTGAGCACAAGAACATTTGGCGAAAGCTACGTCTCACAAATGCAAGACAGCGCCGCCTATACGCTTCGTGCGGGAACTATAGGGAACGCTTTGAAAAACGCGCGTAGCGCCGCTAGCGGAGAAACTGGCGTTTAAAATTGATGCTTTTTTTTTTTTTTTTTTTTGCTTGTTTTTGAAGTTGGACATTTTCGCACAAAGTTGGCAAAATGGCGCTGTTGCACGCACTGCTTAAAAGAGAAAACAAATCATAATAAAGGCGCGTAAACATTTTTTGTGAAGTCGGAGCTACCGGTTGTGGAAGCAGCCCTTAACCCCGACTTTATAAAGTTGTTTTAATTTGTGCTTTATAAAGCTGTTTTAGTTTGTGCGAATGAAGGCAATGACGAGGCATGCACATAAAACCAGACCGCAACACTAGATCAAGCGCCTGTCCAGTCGTAAGTGTGCCTCTTCGTGCTTCTTCAGTGATCGCGCTCTTTTATAAATGTCAAGTATGAACCAACTAGTCCCATCAAAAGTCGCGTTGCTCTAGAAAAAACCGAACCGGGACGCAAAAACGACCGCCTCTCATCCGGTGCCAGGTGTTTTTAACAGATCGAACAACAAAATTAAAAACTTTTGCTACACGCCGAGACACCTTGTTGTGTGTACGCACACGTATACCGCTCTGTCAAAGCGGTAGAGTCATAATTCACGCACGTGCGTCACTGACCCAATCATACTTTATAAATAAAACGAGTCATCGCCGATCGACTGACTTTTCACCAATCCTGTCGTCTTTTTTTAACTTTTTTTTTTATGTGGCCATATACTGATAATTTTGAACGTAGTTGCTTGCGGGTAACTATAAATACGTTTCGTCCGTACTTTTTTTTTTTTTTGCTGTTTAGGCGCAGTTTTATTTGACAAATCTAGAAGCCCAGCATCAGGAAAGGATCTTCATTATTACCTCTCTCTTTCTATCTAGCTTTTTTTGTGAAAAATGTCATTAATTTTTAATATGAGCCAAACATTTTCAGTTATTTAAATTTGTGACGTGTCCTGTCCTGGTGTTCTTTGTGTTGCTTTCCTTTTATATACCTAATATTGCCAACACACGTTCTAGAGTCCGTTGCAACTCAAGAAGGTAGGGCAAGGGGAAGGAGGGTGGGGAGGAGGAAGCAGACGGAACGCTAGAGAGGAGAGGGGCAACCTCCTCCTCCCCGAAATGAAGTAGGAGCAAGGTTTAAAAAAAAAAAGATTCAGTGCTGCCATCTATTTGCAGAGCCACAAACTAAGCCTGGGCGAGCCTGGTTTGTCCAAAATCGTTGAATGTGTGAAGTGGGGAAATCTCATTTTTGGGGGCGATTTCCTTGGAAAGTAGTTATTCCTGTTGTAGGCTAACTACATTCTTTTAATGATATATAGAAAAACTAAAGTACAACCACAATCGGTGTTACTTTCTTGGCGACTACTGTATTTTCCGGACTCTAGTCCGCTCCCGGTGTATAGTCAGCAAAGGAAAATTTGCGGTAAAAAAATAGGAGATTTTGCTTATATAGTCCACACCAGGTGCAATTAGTCGGCATAATAATCTTCTCATACACGGAACACCTTGACAGATGTCTGCTTTTTTAGCTCACAACGAAGCTAGTATTGTCGCGAAGTTTTGCTCGCGCGAGTATTTAGTCTAGCTTCACTTTATGTTTTTTGCTTCTCCGAGAGTTCTTTCCGTCTACACGGGACGGCTCATGGATTCCACCGGAGTCGGGGGGCCCCGAATGGGGGCGAACGTGAACGCTGTAACGCTACACTTAGTTTATAGAACCCCGTGTTGGAAACGTTTTGTCTGGTGTATGTTTGCATTTGGGATCTCTACTTCGGAGGTGGTTTTGCTTTGCGTATGTATAACTTCTGTGGCTAAGAAGGTGCTTTCTATTGTTTATGGCTGCTCTTGTGGGCTTCGTTTGGAATGTGCTCTGTTTTGTGTATGCGCTTGTTTTTGGAATGTTCGTATTTGCTTTAGGTTCCGAGCCTTTGATTGGCTCTAAGAAAACCCCTCTTGATTGGTCCTTCCAAAACTTTCTGATTGGTGGACTGGAGGACCCCAGAATGCTGCTGAACCCAATATAAGCGGCCACCGAGGGGCCGTAAGACACTTGGCTCCTGGATACCAAGTCGTGAACATCTCCCTGCCTCTGGAAACCAACCTGCACGTCCGACCCCCCTTCGGCTGTGGAGCCGTCCGCCCGCTAGCTCGCAAACTTGGTCCCCCTTACGGCTGTGGAGGAGTTCGGCTCGCCCGCCTTTGTGTGGAACTGTGTTTGTCGAGTTTGGCTGTGGTCGGGGCCCCCGCTGAGGGTGTGTGTGGTCAGGGAGGACGGCAGGGGAAGTTTCCAGAGGTTAGAATTATTTCCCCCCCAAAAGTTTAATCTCAAATTATATAATGTTCAAAGTGATGTAAAAGAGTCTTTGTCTAGATCTCTTAAATAAACAGAGTTGTTTGTTAAAACCGGTATCGTTCATCGACGGAGAAAAGAGAAGTCCTTATTTTTTTCGTTACAAAAGTGGTGGAGGTGTGGGGTACGACGTTATTTTCTTCGTTACAAAAGTGGTGGAGGTGCGGGGTACGACCGATTGCTACAATCGCCAGTTGGCCCGTCCTCGAGCAGCAAGATGCGGAGTCGTCGAATTCACCCTGTGGAGGCTGCCTGGATCCCTCATCATGGGCGGCGCCACCGTGACAACTGAGAAGACTGCGCCATCTCAGCGCAGCACCGCCATGGCGAACCTCCTCGTCCTCCTTGCTCTGACGATCCTCATCAGCGGAACTCTGTCCAAGACAGCACCTCATCCTCGACAATCAGCGTCTCCGAACCAAGTGAGAACTATCCGGCCGCTTCTAAATTGCCGTCCATTCCTCTTGAAGCACCGTGCACGATTCAAAAAACTGTGCGAAAAGTGCCGATTGCCTCTTCAATTAATCCGACCTGGAAAGTTCGAACACTGACGTCGCTCAAAAAATTTTGT